CATGTATTGTGTGGAACAGCCTATATTTCCTTGTTATTACTAAGTATTGAGCCTTTCTATGTTAATTACATGATTATTTACAACTTAATATACAATATCTATGACTAGAAATTATATTCTTTCTAATATCTAATGCAGAAAGATCCACGATCTGTATATTAAATCATCAATCGTGAAAGAAAATAAAATAATTCAAAATAACGGCTTGAAAATACCTGAGAAAAGCTCTATTAGTTTCCAGTCACAAGGGGACTTTTATTCATAAATGGAAGTCAGTTGGCTGCATGACGTCACCGTGCATGCTACCATAATTAAGGGTTATTTTTCGCCGGAACGCCATTGTGACGTAAGCAATCGCCGGACTGGCGACTGAGTGAGTGAGAGACCGTATTATAGTAATAATTATTGGTGTCGCGACCAGCAGCACGGATGAGCAACCTTAATCTAAACTGAGGGCTTACTCTTGAATCCAATTCCGAGCGATCGACATTGTAATTGTAAAATTTCGTACTCTTGAGTTGCAACACTAGCGACCATTGCTTCCGTATTACGTGGATATTTAACTCGTCGAGTACCGTCATTACCTCGTGTGTTCATAAGTTTTGAGACAAATTAAAAGTTGCATATCTTTTTAAATAATAAACTTATATTTATAAAAACAATAACAAACATTAAGTAGATAGTAAGTAAAAATTAAATATAATTATTATTCAAAATGACCACCCCTGTTTTTAATACATGCCCTTAGACGATTTGGCCAGTCATCAATGGCGGCACGAATCTTTTCCAGAGGAATTCGCTTCGCTTCTCGGACAAGAGCTCGCTTAAGTGACTCCAAGTTTGGGTGGGACTTTCGGCAGGCTCTGAGCTCTAATTCGGTCCATAGAGAATAATCCAGCGGGTTGAGGTCGGGGCTGGAGGAGGGCCATTCGTTCGCCGCAATGAAGGCCGGCACATTTTCCTTCAGCCAAGCTTGGGTGGTTTTAGCCTTATGGGATGGCGCCGAGTCTTGCTGGAAAACCCAATACTTGTTATGGAATAGGGTATTAGACAGGGGTTTCACAACAGTCTCTAGAATGTCACTTTGATAATTTTTGGCTTTCACCTTGACGCCTTGTTGGCAGAAATGAAGCTGAGTGACACCTTCGTACGAAACTCCCCACCATACCATGACACTAGCCGGATGATGAGTACGCGAGACATTCCGTGCTGAAGGTGGGACATCCTTGCTACTTTTGGCATACACTTTATTGTTTTGTCGATTGAACTTTTCTTCGACGGTAAAGATTTTCTCGTCGGTGAAGAGTATCTTCCTCGCATCGTGTCTCCTAAGCAGTATTGGACAACGTTCGCGTCGCAATTGACGAAGGCGATCGTTTAAAAAGTGTACTTTTCTACGGCTATACGCCTTAACCTTGAGATCATATTTCAGTATTCTGTTGACTGAAACGCGCGAAATATTGGTCTGCAGAGCGAGTTTCTTCTGAGTGCGACATGGATTTCGGCGAAGTCGCTCTCGGATGATTTTAATGTTCGCAGGCGTCCTCACAGAGCGTGGACGACCACTTCTTTGCCGATCATGTAAAGAACTTGTCTCCTGGTATCGTTTAATAGTGTAATACACGAAGTTACGGCTCACACCAAAACTTTTCAGTTCTCGGAAAATGTCCATAGGTTTTCTTCCCACCTTAAATAATGAAATGACGGTCGCACGTAATTCTTTTGTTCCCTCCATTACGAGAAAATTTAAATAAAATAATCCGAAATCATAGATATTAAAAGTTAACATTCCAAATTCAAAATTAGAAAAAGAAATATACAGCAGCCAGTAATTTTTATTTTATTTTTATAAGCAAAAAGTTTGTCTCAAAACTTATGAACACACGAGGTATATA